AAAAAAAAAAAAAAAAAAAAAGGCACACTGTGCCTCTACATCAAATTTTGTTATTGTTTTTGGTTTTGTTGAGACAGTCTTTACTGTGTAGTCAAGGCTGGCCTTGAACTCATGATCCTGCTGCATTGGCTTCTCAAGTGGTGAGAAGACAGTATGTGCACCACATCTGGCAAAATCTTGTTTTTTTAAGGCAGGAAACAAGTTTTACAAATGGTACTGACTCAGCTTTATCTTCAAAATACAAAAAAGGGAGTAAGGATCAAAACCATCATGGTGGCTTTCTCTAGGCACTGGGATGAAGGGGATTCTTTTTAAATTCTATATTCATTTCTCTATGCTTTAAAAGAAAACAAAATTTGCTTTATCTCTTGTCAATTGGTTGTTTCTGCCACAACTGTCAGAACATCCTCCATAGCTGGGCACATCTAACTTGGTCTGCGTATGTCAGCACAGAACAGGAACTGGACACTGGTTACGACACTACTTGAGGGTCTCCCTATGCTGTGGTCTGCTTGTGGACAGGCAGAGGAGTGGTGCCTCACTACAGAGGTTCAAGCCACTAGCTTCTGGACCATTTGGAACATTCCCAGAAGGGAGAGGCACACTGTCTTCAAAGCTCGGTGCACTCACATAGACTGCGAAGTCCTTGGGAGCACTGGAGATGTTGCCCATTGGTGAGAGTGTCTTTGGTATGTGCTCCACAGTAAACACAGTTGGGTGGATCTTCATTGACAGCCGCACCACCAGGAACCCCTGGGAGCCTTTAAATGCCCAGCAGTTACCTGGATAAATGTCAGGCTAGGGAAAGGCAACAAATACTAAGACTGAAGAGTTGGAACAAGCTCTTAAGCACTAGCAGCAAAACAGTAGTGTTCAGAGAAGACCGATTATTCAGGAAATAAAAAAGAAAAGAACTTTTACATGATAAACATGTCAAAAGCAGAATCTGAAGGCAAACTGGGCACTTGCAACACGTACCTCCCAACACCATTCTCCCTAACCATATGTTGGTTAACAGTAAAAAAAAAAAAAAAAAAAAAAAATAGAGTTTAAAGATGCTTACATACTCTCCACAAAACAGAAGGAACCAAACTGGTATCGGAACCTATGACAAGCTCTTTCCACCTTATATAATAATAATAAAGTGACAGGATGAATACTGTGAAGCATATGTTGATACCTGGTCTCCACCCTCTATCCGGGCATAAGAGTCCTAGAACCCTACAGTCTGCAGACTGTCTTCTGTGCAGTAGAGTTAGCAGGTAGCTTCAGGATGGGTGTGTCAACAGAACCAACACACGGCCAGAGCCCTGGGACTCTCAGATCCAGGAAAAGGGTGTGAGGGCCACCAGTGTCAGAAGGGCCCAGAAAATCCCAAAGGTGAGGGTTTGCAGGGCAGCTGGGCACATGGAGGTCAGTGTATGGTGCAGCTTCAGAGGACAGGAGCTCTGGGTCCCTTGTACCTTGCCTGAACATCTCTTTATGAGTAGACTTTGTAATACACCAATAAATATCAAGTGTCCCCTGAATCCGGTAAGCTATTCCTATAAGTTGACTGAATCCAAGGAGGGGGTTGTACCAACCACTGTAACCAGAGGAATCCTAAATTTTAGGTTTACTCATACTTTCGTTTTTTTTCTGAAACAGAATCTTGCTATGTAGTCTAGGCTGCTGTCAACCTCACAATCCTGCTGCCTCAGCCTTACCAGTGCTGGAATGACTGGCATGCCCCATGCCTAGCTTAGGTTTACTCATAGTAAGAGGTTTGCTCATCTTACTATGTGAACTGTGTGCATTTAAGAAAGACCTGTCTTGTAGCCGTCTCGCATAAAACAAACTTAAGTTTTATCAAGAAATTGTCATAAGGGCCAGTGAGATAGCTCAGCAGACTAAGCGCCTGCTTAGGCAAGCACAGGGACCAGGATCTAATCCCCGGCATCACATGCTGCATCAGCCCCACCCGCGAGAGCGCTGAGCCAGCCACTGAGTCCAGGCATGGTGGTGCACACCTGTAATCCCAGCACTAGAGAGGCTGAAAACAAGTCCGAGCTGCGTAGTGAGACCCTGTAACAAATGCATAAATTAAGAAAGAAAAAAAAAGAAACTGTCATGAGTAATAGGTAATACCTGAGTAATGAGCTATAAATGGATATGGCTGACATTTAAAGTCATTATGCATGGGTTCAGGGAGATGGCTCAGTAGAATAAGTACTTGTCTGGCAAGCACAGGGGCCTGAGTTCAATCCCAGTTCTGCCTAAAATAAAGTCATTATGCATGAATCCTTTCACTGCATATAACCACAGTACAAAATAAAGACCCCCCAAAAAAAAAGAAAAAAAAATAAATAAATAAAGACCCAGGAAAAAAATAAGTAAAAATAAAGCCCCAGGAAAAGTAGGAGTGCACTTGAGGGCAGTGGTCAAGGGCAGTGGAGAATCAGCACTCCCAGATCTGCCTGTGCTGCAGCACAAAGATCACTGAGGGGTACCAACCTGGAGGGACCTCTACAGGTGATTCCAGGCAACCTGGGAGCAGATGAGCCCTTGGGGTACATACTGCCTATCCTGGGCCTGTGCCATAGAGAAGTGTTCATGTTTCCAGCTTCCAGTGAGCGGCCACTGATGGCTCCTACACTCTCCTGTACACACATCTTACCATATTAAGGAGCTGGAAAAATGCATCAGTACATCAGGCGCAAAAGGACTCTGGCCAGGTGGGGGGCCTTGGCCCTGTGGCAGTCATGAGGTAATGTGTGACAGCACACGTGCAGGCACCCATCCACTTACCTGGATCACTACCCGGGGCGACTGAGAGAAATACCACAGTGGGATCCCAAACAGGCTCAGCAATGCGGTCTTGGTTTCATATGTCTCTGAGCAGCGAGTGCTCAGAATGCTGCCACCTGCAACCAAGTGACAAGGAGGTCAGCACCTGACTCCACTCCCACCCTAAGGGTCAACTCAGTGTCTCAATTTCTCAAGCTTGTACTTGTACTGGGTCACTATCTAGTCACCTACAGTGCAGCAGCACACCAGAACTTTTACTCTACCCAATGGAGCTTAGGACCAACTGATCAACCTCCTACATACTTTTCAAACTCCTGTATTAGTAGTATGCAATTGCTAGGGGTAGCTGCTCTGACTAGACAAATTTTATTCATTTTTCTGAATCAGGGCTGCTAAAAGGCTGAAATGACACTATGACAGTTACCAACTAAAGTAAGTGCTAGGGAGCAGGGAGTGACTGTATAGGATCAGGAAGGAATGCTCTAGAATCAGCGCCCACCACTGCACAGCATTGTGATATACTAACAACTGAAGAGCTCTATACTTTAAAAGAGCCAGAGCTGATGGTGTACACCTGTGCTCTTAGCATTTGCAAAGCTGAAAGAGGGAGAGTCCCATGAGTTTGAGGCCAGCTTGGGCTACACAGTCAGTTAAGGTCAGCCTGGGCTATATAATAAGTTTGTGTGGACTATATAAGTTTCAAAAAACTCACTCCACCCCCAATTCAAAACAGAAGCCAGGCAGTGACAAGGCTGTAATCCCAGCTGCCAGGAGACAGAGGCAGGAGGACAGCAAGTTGAAGGCAAGCCTGGGCAATTAAGCAAGTCTGTCTCAAACAAAACAAAGCAGTTTAAGTAGGAGTCCTATCTCACTCTCAAAGACACCTTCCTCAAACACAATGAGGAAGCTGGGGAACAGAGCCCCACAGGGCATCATGGTTCTCAATTCTGGACCACACAGTGCCAAAAGCAAAGACAACTATCAGCTGGCACTGTATGAGTAAAATATCATTTGATGCCATTGAGCTAAAGGTAATTTTTTTGCTAAATCACTGTATTTCAAAACATGTCAGTAAAATCAAAACCCTAAAAGTAATTTTGGACAAATCATGCATTGAGAACATCAAGAGCCCGACTTCTAGAAGAGCTGCTAGCTTTTCTGACAGGGCTCACTGCCCTCATTGGGACCTCCTGAGATGGTGAAGGCCTAGATGGAATCTGTTGTGCCAGGGGCAACGGGCTTATGTTCTTGTTCACTCATCTGGGACTAAGTCAAATAGATGGTGTTTTTAAAGTCACTTTCCCTTTATAGGTGCCCAGCCTTCCCACATCCTAGTGAGTATGCAAAATCCCCTTCTCTTCCAAGAGATGATATTGTCCATCTGCCCTTGATTATGCCACTGTGGTGGCAAAGCTCTTCCTGGACTGACCTATGTTGTCTGTATTGTCTCTGCAGGGACACAGTGCCCTACCAAGGCTGTATAGCCCCAGACCCAGGACCAGCACACATGGACCCGAAACAGGTCTGACCCATTAGACATGATGGACCATAGCTTCTGGGAAGCAAAATAACACCTTTCTCTTGCCATGCGCTAACTAACCAGCCAGTCACCACCCTTGGGTTCAGCAGCTCCACCCCAGCTGTGTGTGCATCCCACAGACAGTGCAGCCAGCACCCCTGGAACCTGTGAACACTCCAGCATGTTCCTGACCACTTCTCAAATTCCTGCCCACTTGCAGGTGACCATCTTGCTTGGGTGGGGTTCAGTGTCAGAGTACTTACCACCAGATTCCAGGGCAAAGTCCACCATTCCAGTCTTGTCCTGAGAATAGAGCTTCAAAGCATTGTTCACAATGACACGTGCTTGCTGGAGAGACATGGAAACATGAAGCCCAATGCCAGGACAGGAGGAAAGAGACTGACATTTAGTCATGTAAACAAAGCCAGAGACTTAGTGTAACTGAGGTGACAGGAATGAGCTACTTTGCCAACATCCTACTCAGTTCTGCATCCAGATGGCATATCACTGCACAAGGGTTCAGACATGTCACAGCATCTCTGAACTGGGTGCTGCTGGCATGAGTGAGACTTTAACATGGGAATTTCTCAGAATTTGTATATAAATCATTAAAAATTTTTATGTCATCCTAGTCCACTGCTGCACAGGTAGAGGTGGTGTTTAGGAGAAAAACATTCAGAGATTAGAAGGTGCTTCACAGAGCAGCTTGCTTTGACATTGGTGACAGCAGTGCTGTGGCTCTGTGGCCTTATGCTCAGCTTGCCCTGCAGTTGGGCCTGGCCATGGCCTGGGAACCCAGTTCAAGGCCAGATGACACTGCTTACCAGATGGACACAGAGGCATCAGTCTCACCACAACACAGAAGCTAAACCTGTCTTATCACCCACTCACTCACCGCTTCTGTGATTCCAGAAATCCCTGCCCCGCTCATGGCAGACACCACAGTGTCGGACGTTGGCTTCTGGCCTGTCACCACCAGGTGGTGGGAGATGTTCTTGAGCACTTGCAGCTCAAGGTCCCGTAACAAGGCCTGCAGGTCACTCTTGCTCACATAATGTGAAGACAGCTTCTGTACCAGCCACTCAAGGGAACCACCTTGCTGGTCCTCAGAAAACATGAGCCTGAGGGTTTCTTTGACCTGGGCATCCACCTGGCAGTATATCAGGAAATAGAACTTATTGTTATCATTAGTTTGTTTCTATATTTGTCCAAGATACCTCAGAAATAGCATTCATTGGGCTGGTAAGATGGCTCAGTGGTCTGAAGCACCTACTTAGAACAAGCTTAGCAAAGCACAGGGACTGCAGTTCAATCCCCCAGCACCACATGCCAGCCAGCCCCTCCCCCTGGTGGGCTGAGCTGCCCCCCCCCCACAAATTAAAAAAAAAAAATAGCTTTCATTGTTGCAAAATGAACAGTATAATGTGACATATATCCCCCCACCCCCATTAAAAAAGGCTAAAATTTAACACCTTGAAGTCAAAAGTGGTGGTGTATGCCTGTAATCTCAGCACTTAAGAGGCTGAGGCAGGAGAATTGCCACAAATTCAAGGCCAGCCTTGGCTACAAAGTGAGCTGAAGGCCAGCATGAATTACTTAGTGGGACCCTGTTTCAAGAACAAGTAAAATGAATGAACGAACGAATGAACGAACGAACGAACGAACGAACGAACGAACGAACGAACGAACGAACGAAAAATAAAGCTGGTGTGGTGGCGCATGCCTGTGATCCCAGTACTGGGGAGGCTGAGGTGGGAGGATTGTTGCAGAGTTTGAGACCAGCCTGGGCTACAAAGTGAGCTCAAGGCCAGGCTCAACTGTGTAGTGAGATGCTATCTAAAAAAGACAAAAATAAATACATAAACAAACAGCCTGGTAACTTTAGTCCCCATTTTTTCCTACTTTCTACTACAAAAAGGAGCCAAGGGCCGGGGAGATGGCTCAGTAGAATAAGCGTTTGCCTTGCAAGCACAAGGGCTTAAGTTCAATCCCTGGTTCTGCCAAAAAAGAAAAAAGTAGCCAAATGTACTGCAGGCTCTGTGTACTGTACCTACCTTCTCACAGCCAGCCTTCAGCTGCTGCCACTCCGCCAACTGTGACCGCAGGAGGCCCAGCTCCTGTTCCAAGTGCTCCACGCGAGGCAGGAGGGACTGTTCCTCTGTTCCACTGGAATCAACCACCAAGTGGAGGGAGAAACAAATCAGGACCCAGACTTACAAGTGGAACCTGCCTCATCCATGGCGACTCAGCCCAGCTAAAGACATGTGCATGTGCAGCTTCCAGCCCTGCAGTTTCTTCTCTGTATCAGGTCACCAAGGCAGTTCCAATGTACCTACCAGAGAGCCATCAGCAGTGACCATTTATTTGCTCAGGAGGTGAATAGCTCTGAGAACTATTTAGGACTTGAAAATCGTTTCCTTAAAATCACACGTAAGACTTTACAAAAGTAAAGTTGCATTCACAGCAACCATGACAAATTGAGGGTATATTTTTCATGCCAGTGGATCTACAGGAGCTGCAAACTATGGTGAGAAGGTGGCTGAGGACTGACTTCAAGAGCAGAAAGGCTGCAGCCAAGAGAAGACCTGCTGAGCTACAGGGACAGTAGCTGCACTTTCATGCGTTGTCTGCACAGAAACAGTGAAGTCGGTAGAGACCAGCGACACAGCTCCTGTGACATGAACTCTTAATGATGACCCTTCAAGGATACTAGTAGCAAGGTTCCTGGGGGCAAAGCAGGGCCTGTCCATGCTGCATTGGGATAGCGTGCTGCACTGTATCCCTAAGGAGTCATCCCCAGAAAGATGCAAAGGCCAGTGACTTCAGGTGGCATGTGGCTAGAAGCTAACAGCATCCTCACCAATGACTGCCACTGTTCCAGGTCACAACAGAGGAAAAACATAGGAGACAAACTACTGAATGATCTGAAGCATCCTACCTGAATGTTCTTAGCTTGGTCTGTTCTAACTCCCTGTGGATAGCCTGGAAAGCATGAGAAACCTCTGTTAAACATGTAAGTTACACACTAACTTCACAAAATCATGTATTTGATTAACCTAACACTATATACATTTATCTTGAATTTTCCTCCCCTTAGAAGTCAAAATCTACCTTTTGGTTTACAGTTGGGGGAGTGTTTCATTTCTCAAAGTACACTTTTTCAAACAAGCAGTACTTATGAGAAACAGAAGCTGCCCATGAGGATAGTCAAGGCAAAGGAAAGTCACCCCAAGGACTTGTCTTCTGAACATGGATGTCCAGAGGCACCACGTGGCAGTGCTGTGCTAAAGGCACGGCAACCTGACTGTGCAAAGCAGCTCTTATTCCAGCACAGAGCAAGGTGGTCTCCCTCTCCTCCCCTGAACTTGCCTGACTCAAACAGGATCTGCAGCCCAGGAACTGATCCCGAGACTACCAAGAAGCTGCATTCCTACATATCCCTAAGTGGCACTTGATTTAGTTTAGCAAAACACTAGTGTCTGTCATGCCAGGCTCCATACTCTGCCCTAGATATCAAGGACCTGGCTGTAAGCACCTGCAATCCTGGTAGTTCAGATCACTTGTAAACTCTCAGCTCTGCAGCAGCAAATGGTGAAGAGACTTTGCCACCCACAGTTAACTTCCCACAAGAGGTTTAACCCTTCATTCTCCCTCCAAACAGCATAATCTTGGTGGAAGCTATGTGACACCAAAGAAATCAAGGGGGTTGGCTGGGTATGAATCCAGAAGCTGCCTGCAACCAATAAGACAGCCTCAACCATCAAGAAATTAAGTGGACAGCCATGGGGGAAAAGAACAGTCAGAAACAATTTTTCCAGTTTTATAAAACACAATAGCAAATAGCCTGAAAGAAAGCATATTTGTGGCTAAGGAACTTCTGCAAACATTATAGTTGATTTTTGATTTATTAGGAAAACCACTTCGTTGGGGGCTACAATTCTAAGGTGAAGAATAAATACCTCAGATTTTTCTGTCAGTTTTCTAAGAATATCTTCCAATTTTGAGAGACGTGCTTCATGTTCATGACGGAAAGTCATCAAGTCAGTCTGAGAAAAAAAGATAAATGAACAAATAGAGAAAGTGAAGTAACAAAAACTAGCAAGTTAGGGCATGTTATTTCTACCAGAATACCAAAATACCAAAAAGCTAGAGACTATGTAATCACTACATGGCATAGCATGGAGTCCTCATGTCTTTATCTCTCTAGCCCTGGGGGATCTTAGGCCTGAGTGAAACTGCACATACACCTTTTCTGGTGACACAAAAATACTGTAAATACAGTCCTTGGAAACACATAGGAAGCAAATTAACTTGTTCAACAAAGATTCAAAGACACAGGTCATTCTATTTAATGACTTAAAAGGAAAACAGCCATTGGTAAAGATGCACAATACATGTATACCCCCTTTGACCCTTGTACATTAACATAAAATATTGAACATATTTGTTAGGAGTAAACCCATTAGAACACTTCCTCAGAACAGCAGTGAGATGATTCATGTAACTTATGAAACAGGTGATCCAGCAGATGGCTTTCAGGCTTGGTAAGGTTCATGATCAACAAAGTACCAAATGAGCCAACCACAAAGTGTTTTGAATACAGGCTATCTGCTGAAAACAGTGGTGTGTCCCCACTAATGTCTTCAGCCAGTCTTAGGACAACAACATCACTTCCAGGAAAGGTCTAGAAATAGCACCATGATTACACAAGGATGGGTGCAACAGAGCAGAGAGAGAGCAGCCACAGCAAAGAATGGCACTGCATATTCAGAATAACCCTGGTCCTCCTGGTTATAAGCCTTGCATCCTGGGCTGAGCCCAGGAGGGAAAAAAAGGAAAAATGAGGACCAAGCTGATATATAATATAAAGTTCACCTAAAAAAATAGGACCAAAAATGGGATTGTTATGGTTTAGGTCTAGAATGACCCTCCACAGCCTCATGTGTTTGAAGGTGACTGCATCATGGGAGCATGACCGCTAATTTGTTAGGAGGCGGGGCCTAGTGGGAAGAGGCAAGTCACTGTAGATATGACCTGGAAAGCTGGACATGACCTTCCCTTCTATCTCTGCTTTTTGGTTCCCATGATGTGAGCAGCTCTCTGCTAGACCCTTCCACCATGCCCTTGCTGTCTTGGAACCAGCCCACGATGGACTGATTCCTCTAAAAACCACAAACCAATGCATATCTCTCTTCTATAAATTGTGGATGTAATGTATTTTGTCCCAGTAATAAGAAAGTAACTAAGGGAGGGACAAAATAGCGCAAAGGGATGAAGGCTATGAAGGCTAGCTGAAGAGATGACCTGAATGGGTACCACAAAAAGGATGGGTGCCCCAAAAGTAGTTTCCACTGTCTCCTGTGGTGTTAAGCCCCTAGGGCGTGCTGAGATGGTGACTGAGACTGGGCATGGTGGCACGCACCTGTAATCCCAGTGCTTGAGAGGCTGGAAACAGGAGGATCACTATGAGTCTATCTGTGTAGAGATCCTGTAGACCCTATACTAACAACATTAAATAAATTGTTAAAAGTTGTGGAGTGAGGGGCTATGCAGAAATTCTACTTTTTAGATTACCCTCCTAGAGAAACCAGGAGCCTTTTTTCTTACTTCAAATGAAAACTCAATTAACCTCAAAAAACAAAAAAGAAAAATGGTCAACAGAAATGGAACAAGATGCCAGGGAAGCACTTATTCCACTGAGCCATCTCCCTGGCTGTACTAATAGTATTTGGACAGGATATCATGTCTGCATCTTGTACTACGAATGACCACCACGAAGACAATAATATGCAATGCATTAATTATTGAAACTGTCCTATTAATTGGTTTTAAAACTGTCTCACTGCTATTTGTTTCTCAATGAAATTAATTAAAAATCTGTAACATATGTACTACTTA